CACGAATTGGGTGTCAACATACTTTCTATACAAACAGAGATATGAAAAACTGTTCTATACGTGTAATAAGAATTTCGATGCATTTTGCTGTCATATATTTAAATAATAAAAGCAATTTAAAAAAGAATAATGCAAAAAATGATATTTGGAAAGACTGCTTTATCAGTCACAGGGATTTGAAGTTGTGTCTGTGTGGTTGAATAGTTCAGGGCATTGCAGTTATAGTGTGAACAATCTTCTTGAGTTCCAGTCATCCTTCTTCTCCCACAAACACAAAAACAATGTCATGCCCAGTTTCTGAGCCTTTTTGAGAGTGAGAAAAATACCCTGACATAGATGCAGGGCATCTTCTTCTGATAACTTATTTTTCCAACTGCCTGTACTGTATGCCAGCCCCAACCCTAACCTTTGCTGCCAATCACAGTCCCTGACCCAACATGCTGGCTCCTGACCCAGTGGCCTAATTAGTCCTGGCAGCCCTGGGTCAGCCGTGGTGCAGCAGTAGAGTCCTTATGCAATTAGAGACCTTTCCCAAAGCTCTCTTCCCTGGAATCCTTTCAGAAGTGAAACAGAAAGGATTTAAGCCTGGGGCTCCCTGGGTCTGGCCTCAGGGAGAAGAGGAGCACCAGAGCATGAACCACCTGTGGAGAGGCAGAGACAAGCTTTGTCAGAGAGGGAGTGGTGGGTCGGTGGGACCCAGGGGCCACTCTCCCCATGACCACCTGAACCTTTGACCTTCTTACATTGTGGCTATAAAGACCATAAATTTTCTTTTAAGCTTAAAATGGTTTGAGTTGGTGTCAGCTCTTTGCATTCAAAGGGCCCTGATTCCTGCCGGTGTGATCACCTGATGTTCCTGCATTGATGGGGCTCTCTGCCATTCCTGTCCTCAGGACACTCACTGCCTCTGCACCCCACAAGGTAGTTCCCAGGGTCCCTTTTCTGCTCTGGGACCTGATGTGTCTGACAAGGCTACCTGGTCCAAAGGGTAGTGACAGGCACATCCAAAGTCTCACCTCCGCACCTTAGAGAGAGGAGGTGGGAGCCAGGACGTGTGACTGGTGGCACTCCAAAGGGAAGACCAGGGCAGTCCTCAGAGCCACCCTGCTTCCTGGACACCCAAAGAGTGACCCTGCAAACCGGGCCATCACTTCCACGCGCTCCCCTGTGGGGCATGTGAGGCCTCGCTCTAAACGGACCTCAGCAATCAGGATCCTGTGGTTTCCACCTTGCACGGTGAGCCCCGAGGTGGGGTGGCCCAGGTGTGACCCAGTCAGCACCTGGGGGACGTGGTCACCTGTGGTCAGGCCGTGTGCCTTATGCTCCACGTTTTAAGGCTGACTGCTTTCAAAGGCCTGTTTCCCTGGGGCCCTAAACGGCTGCCAGTCATAGTGAGCTGTGTCATCGCACAGGGCCAGCAGGAGACAGAGACGCTTCTGCTCCAGTCTGATTTGGAAGCAATATCCTGGCAGCTGTGTGAGAACAATTTTGAGGTGTCTTTGGGAGTCGGAATTGGCAGCTTGGTGGCTACGGGGCTGCAGAGGTGTGGGGAGGGAGGGGTCTTGCCTGCCTTTTCCTTCCTTCCTTCCTTCCTACCTTCCTTCTTTTTTCTCACATTCTTTTGTTTTCTTTTGGTACTGGGAATTGAACCCAGGGATGCTTTGCCACTGAGCCACATCCCTAGTCTTTTTATTTTTTTTTATTTTATTATTATTTTTTTAAAATTTTGAGGCAGGGTCTTGCTAAGTTGCTTAAGGCCTTGCTTGCTAAGTTGCTGAACTTAAGGCTACTTGAACTTATGATGGTCCTGCCTCAGGCTCCCTAGTCCCTGGGATTACAGGCATGTGTCACTGCACCCAGCTTGCCCATCTTTCTGGCATGGGCACCTATGTTGACAGAGATGCCCTTTCCTTAGGCAGAGCTGGTCTGAGAAGGTCTGCCCAGGAGTCCAGTTGGAGCCTTCGGCAAAGCCTTGAGGTTGACAGTAAGGTGTTCATGTCCGACAAGGAGTAACCGTACCAGGTGAGATAAGCCAATTGTTTCTCTCGACGAATGGCAGTTTGTGCTTACGTACAGAGGACCATGTAGAAAACGCAGGCAGCCACTTTATGACCCTTCAGTGCTGAGTTTCGGAGGCCGAGCATCAGAGCCGGGTGTGATCAGAAGTGGGGTTCCTGACGTCGGTGCCACACAGCTGTTTCCACCTTCCAACTCAGTTTTGCTCAGGTGTGCACCCACGCCCAGTGCTGCAGGATTCTCATCATGAGTCTGATGGATGGCTGTCAATTCCAACTGTGCACCAAGATGTGAAAAAACACCACGGTTCAGGACCTACCTCCTGAGCTTAAGTTTCAAGTGAAGAAGACACACTTTACTCTAAATAAAAGTACACATTTTATTAGTTTCAAAGTATAGAGTGGATGGCGTTAATGGCATCACATTGCTGAGCAAACCTCACTCTCCATCTCCAGAGAGCTTCTCCTTTGGCAGATCAGACACCTTGTGTCCATTAAGTAGTTACTCCCATTCCCTCCTTCCTCAGTCCCTGGAGCCCGCCATTCCACCTTCTCCTTCCTGACACGACTGCTCTAGGTTCTTCCTATCAGTGAACCAGACCACATCTCTCCTTTGTGATTGGTTGACCCCACTTAGAAGATCGCTCCAAGGTTTATCCGTGTCGTAGCTCAGGTAAGAATTTCCTTCCTTTGTTAAGACCGAATAATATCCCACTGGACACAGGTGCCACATTTTGTTTCTTGGGTTTCTTCCACTTTGGGGCTATTGTAAATAATATTGCTGTGAAGGTGGGTTTTACAAATAGCACCAGAGACAATGAGTTAGGAAGCCAGGAAAAAGACAATCAGATGTCACCAGAGGTATTTTGGAGAGCTTTCCATGGGATTTTGAACAGGCAACAGGGTGGAGGGCATTATATACGGCAATACCTGGAAACTTAAGGAGCCCAGGGAAGAGGCGAGTTACCTTAGCTGACTCAATCCGGTTGCTCCGTGACAGGCCACGTCACGTCAAGCTAGCAGCACTTCACACATCTGCCTTCACCCAAAATAGACTTGGAGACCCAGGAGGGTGGGGTGCCTTTGTTGACCTCAGCATCTCTTGGATATAGCCCAATGCCTTCTTAATAGTTTATTAAGTTGCTATTGAATAAAGCAGCCTATAATCCACCTCTATCCCACTATGACAACCAAATATTCCCTTCCTCTGCTGGGCATCATGTCCCACTGGTCCCCAAGCCACACTCTAGTCCTGTAGCCTGACTCCTGGCCCAAGGTTCAGTCAGGATCCAAATCTTTTATGAAACAAAATTATGCGTGTAAAAGAAGCCTTGGGCCCCGACAGAGGGGCAGGACAGGGGTGGAGTGCCACAGCCTCTGTTTCAGTCTCCTCCCTAAGACAGTGGCTGTACCCATTCCTGCACATCTGTCACCCCACAGATATCTGCTTCTCCCGCTCCACAACCCGCTTTAAAAAGAAAAACCAAGAAGCAGCATTTCTATGGTGGTGGATGTGTGTGCTTTTCATTCCCTTTTGTGGCTCCACACGCTTGTGTTGACCTTGGTTTTCATTTTGCACCGAGTGTCCGAGATCACATTTTATGGAAACCTTTGGAAATTCAAAAGCAGACCCAGCTAAACGCCAACCACCTGGAGAGTTCTACTTAATTCCACCCGACGTGTTTGGAGAGAACCTCGATGTCATGCAGAGCAGTAGTGTAGCAGATTAAGAATGACCGGCCCCCTCCTCCCCTTGCCTCAGAAGCCACCATATGCAATGGGATGGGGACAGCAAGGGCAGGCCTTGGTGAGAAGAACGATAAGACTCGCCCTTGGTTGCTCCCTGAGTTTCCAGGAGCCGAGCTCCCCTTTCACCCAAGTGGCAAACTAGCAGGGGCCCGGATGAGGGGAGGCCAGGGAGGCTGGAGTGTGAGAACACAGGTCAGATCTTGCAGATCTGGTCTTTACTCCTGGTTTAAATACTTTGCTCATGCGTATATTTGATATTCAACTTGATTTTTTAAAAATACTGTAATATAGTCATTTGTGTTGATGACCGAGTTGTTGGCACCCATTAACCTTCCTTCCCCATGTGCCTCACTTGACTCCAGTGCTGCCACTGCCTCCCCCTGCAGCTGCCCGTGCTAACCCCCTCTTCCGTGTTTCCCATGGTAACCCACACCTGGCACAGGGGGGAGACGCAGGGAAGCTGGGCAGGGGTGGCCTTCCCCTCCCAGATCTTTTGCTAATGTCATCTTGAAGCTTTTCATTGAGATACCCATGACAAGCAAGGGCCCATTTCTTTTAGGTTGTCCTGAACTGAGGATGTTGACCAAACAGTGCCCCTGAGATAAACCATGACCAGCTTTGTGCTCTGGAACTTCCAGGCGACTGGCTGCTGCACTAGACATTTGAATTCTCAAGTTAATTTAACTGTGCTGATGGGAGCAGCCCTGGAAAAATTCCTCATGGAGTGAAAGGGTGGACCATCTTCCCAGTGCAGATGAGTCTCCCTGCTCCCACCCCCACTTCCCAGCCTAGGACAGTATGGGAAGACGAGAGGTCCTACCTAGTGGGGGCTCACCCTGCCAAGAGCAGTGGAGGCTCCTGGATTTCAGGCCCATCTCATGAGGACCTAAGTGGAAACTGTACTGCTCCTTGACTGCGACTTTGACTCTGGATGTTTGTTCTGTGCTGTTGGCTGCATCAGGAGTAAACCAATGCGGAAAAATGACCAGGGTCCCCCTGGCCTTCCTAGCCATCCTAGCTGGTCTTCCGAGTCTTGAGGATCCAATCCACCTCTGCCTCAATGACGTCATCTTCATATGTCATTACTATTACTAGACATGCACCCTAACATAATGATCAAGTCATTGATCTGATGAAAAACATCATTACRTAGCAGATGCTTGTGTACCTAAGCAGTGTCAGGAACACCATAACACACAGAAACCATCAGGGCAAGACCTGCCCACGCCGCCTTACCAGGACCGTGTGCATCCCAGTGTAGAGCCTGCTGAGGCACACCAAGCCGGAGAACACCACGGCCATCGTCAGTCCCAAAGCAAAAGGGTACTGTGGGGGGTGGAGCAGAAAACAAGGAAATCAGATCACGCTCGGACATGTGTGATGTGATGTTGTAGGTGGCAACAGGATTCATTGCGCCACAACTGCTGGTGTGAATCACATATTGCCTAGACCAGCAATCCAACCACCTGAAGACATTTTAAACCCAGGGAAAAAAAAGGGAGGGAGGGTTAGGAAGTTTCTCTACATATAATCATGCGGATAATGCAGAGTAGAACTTGGTTTTAAGACTCATGGTCACAACTACTGTGCTGGCATTTTAACTGGAGTGAATAAATTTATCTACCTATCTATCTATCTATCTATCTATCTATCTATCTATCTATCTATCTACCTATCTATCTATGTGTTTTCTGAACCACATACCCAGCCCTTTTTATTTTTTATTTTGAGGCAATATCTCACTAAGTTGCTTAGAGCCTTGCTGATTTGCTGAGGCTGGCCTGATCTTCCCGCCTCAGTCTCCTGAGTCACTGGGATTAGAGGCGTGAGCCACCATGCCAGGCTGGAGTGAATAACTTTTATTTTTAACTACTCTGAAGTGAAAGCTTGAGAAATACACAATTTGACCATGAAGCAAGGCAAACAGTCAGTGCYGTATAGTCTGAAAGGCCCAACCAGCAGCAGGCATCCAGATATTCAGGCAGGCAGTAGTCCAGACCTTGCTAAACCTCAGTCAGAGCAGCCAGAGGAATCTGGCTAACACCGGGTCATATGGGGGATACACAGACTCTCATAGCATATTAATCTTTAAAAATTGAATAGAAGCCAGGCACAGTGGTACACACCTGTAATCCCAGTGGCTCTGGAGGCTAAGACAGGAGGATCGTGAGTTCAAAGCCAGCCTCAGCAATGGCAAGGCCCTAAGCAACTTGGTGAGACCCTGTCTCTAAATAAAATACAAAATAGGGCTGGGGATGTGATTCAGTGATTGAGTGCCCCTGAGTTCAATCCCCAGTAATGCTTCCCCCCCCCACCCCCAGAAACAGAAAGGAAATTCACAATCATGGGTTTTCAGGCCTTATGAAAACCAGTATATCACGTGAGCTGAAAAGAACTTTTCAGAAGGACTAGGAGGCTTTAAAAATGAGCGTATAAGCGGCCAATTGTTACTGTTGTGTCATTGTTCTGTCCCTGCAGCCAGCCTCTCCTGGCTTCTTTTTTCCCTAAGTAACATTAGCGTGTTCACAGACTTCTCTGGATTCCGAGCAGCCCCAGGGAGGCTGGTGCCCACCGCATCCTCCTGGGGCAGCTGGCATTGGGTACAACATAGATCAGAAGTCTGTACTCAGTTAATTCAGACATCTTTGATCCTGGCATGATCTTGGAGGAAGTTATGACAAATGATTATATCTAGTTAAACAGWCATACAATGGTCCCTTTCCCCTTCAGGAACAGAGTTCTAAACCCAGGCGGCCTGGTGGAGAAGGCTGCAGGGTCAGTGAGGATCCTGTTACTCCCATTTCTGCAWAACCCCCAGTATGGAAGATCCCCGATTCTCAGAGGTAAAGGGGCAGGGTGAAACAATACTGCCGTTTACCTATAAGGCAGCTAGATTTCATGAAATATAAAATTTCCAATAGCTAAAAGGTAACATTTATGAAACACAAATTAAAGCAACATATCTCACGTAGGAGAAGACAAAAAAAAATAAACCTTCATTAGAGTTTTAATATAACTGTTAAAAGGTCTTACTGTAATTGGGAYCTAAGCAGACATTAAGGGACATTCTCCTGTTTTCATGATTAATCAATCTCCTGTCATTTAGACAGTTCTAAAATAATCAGAGTCATTCCTTCTAATGGCTGCGCCCTAAGCAGAGGCAGAAGCATCCTYAGAGGGTAATTTGAGCACAGACTCTTTTCAGCCCCAGGCCCTGGGGAGTCTGGCAGAGGGATTTGGTGGAATCATCTCTGCCCTGGAGGATCGTTTACAGGATCATAAGCTCTTTGTGTCTGGTGAACAGAGAATGAGAGCACTGATTCAAGTCTGCCCAGGCAGGCAAGTCAGGGGAAACGGTTCCTGGGAGAAGACAAACCACGCTCGCTGCCTGGATGGCTGTGTTTCACCAGTTGTCCTGGTGTGGTTATTAATGGTGCCCACTTGCACTCTTGGGCACAAACCSATACGGATGCTAAATTATATGGTCACTTTATTTATGAGGAAGCTGTCATCCAATAGGTTTCGGTTCCCATTAGTCTTTATCCCATGAACTTTAAAGTTCTTCAAAGCAAACTTAAGAGAAAATTCTGAAGTGTACCTCTGTTAGGTGCCTCATTGTACAGTGTCACTGGCCTGGGTAGGGGGTGGGAAGGAGAGTCAGGCCACCTTACCTGGTATCTGTCCATGGTAGAGATAAGGAGCGTGAAGGAGATGGCCGTGGCCGCCATGGCATGGGTAGATGGCATTCCAAATTCAGCAATCACTCTCTTCTCCAGTTTCACAACGGGAGGGGAGGAGGGACGGGGCCACTTCAATATATCCTTGGTCACCTGACCAACATACATCACCAACTRCAAAACCAAAGGACTGAGGTGAGTCCAATCAAATACAGAAAATAAATGAATTTCTTAATGGCCTAGTTTTATTGGAGGTTCCCAGTTGGTTGGCTGAAGTCTCCCTTCTCTCTGATCASCCTTATTGGGAAAGTCTTGTAGAATAACATTTTAGCTGCTATAAAGAGATAGGCCTTCTAGATTCCATAGGACCACCGAGCAACCCAAATAGGACATTAATGCAAAGATTATTTATTTTAACCACATATCTAAAAAATACTTTCATAGCTTGGATATATGTCTAACACTGTTTTAAGAATTTTAACCGTGTTAGCTAACTTATTCCAATAATACCTGTAGAATGTATCTCCATATTACTGATGAATAAACCATTGCATGACTGTYCACAGGCACAAATGAACTCTGCAGGAACTGGAATCTGAATCCAGAAATTGGGCTTCAGAGTATGCTTTAAACTACCACAAGATGGTACCTCCAACTTGGGGGTGGTCCTGGGTTAAAGACAGTCTAATGCTTAAATCAGGCACCATGTTTTCAAGYTTTAGCAACAAAAGTGATAGATCTTATGGAACATCTAGTTAAACATTTTTTTGAATGCCACTGTTCATCCTAGTGAACATAACTGACATACTGGATTGAACTTAACTTCATTCAGAAATCAGAAATACCAGTAAAATAAATGGCATGGGAATTTTCAAACCTAGAGGAAAGACAAGTCAATCTGGAGTTTGTTCATTTTACATGAGGCCATTAAAGAAGAACTCTGCCTTCCTGAGCTTTTTTTTTTTTTTTTAAGTGGAAGAGAGCTAGGCACTGTGATACATATGGGAGGCCAAGGCAGAAGAACTGCAAGTTTGAGACCAGCCTGGGCAACTTAGGGAGACCCTATCTTGAAATTTAAAAAAAAAAAAAAAAAAAAAAATATATATATATATATACACTATATATTTACATGTATATATAAAAATATATTTATACATAAAATATAAATATATTATATAAAATATATAAATATATAAAATATATTTGTGTTATATATATATATATATATATATATATATATATATTTTTTTTTTTTTTTTCCTGGACATGTAGCTCAATGGTAGAGTGTCCCTGGATTACATCCCCTGTCCTGGAAAAATAATAAATACATAAAGTGAGCAGAAGATAAAAATCTGGATTTGACATTCACACTCTCCAAAAATGAATAGAACTATTATAACAACAGTTTCGYTTATTTGATGTAAGCATTTTCAGGACAATTTCCCCTTGGAGAGAGAAGAGCAACTCAATTAAGGAATTCCATTCATGGCCTGAGGGCACCCCTACCCCGGAGGTCCATCTTAAATGCAGACTCTCAGGGCCTCAGGGGATTTGGATGCACAGGCCAAGGTGAGCGCCAGCGCTCTGCCTGGTGCTCTGGCTCAGGCCACTCTCATGGCGTTCATCATAACCCTTCTCATCTGACCGTGACTGCATTGATCTCACAAAGACGTGATGGATGGAGTTGCCTTGCTATCAAAACCACTAGGAAGGACCATTTCAAAGTAGCTGGGACTGCTSGCCCAGATTGCTCTAGGAAGGAGTCTGCTCCGGATCTTAGGTGGTCTGTTCATTCGGAGCATTACCCCAGCGGTGCAGGATCCCGCTAGGGGGCGCTGCTGCGTGGCCGTGCTCCTGCCTCTGGGTCCCTGGTGACCAAAGCGGAGCCACTGCTGTGCACCGCAGGACAGGTGGGCGGCTTTCCAGCCACAGCGACCATTACTCTGCATTCCGCAGCTCTGGTTTCCAACCGGACTTGGAAACTGACCCTTTTTGCTACCCCTCATTACCAGGCAGGACTGTCCTGGAGACCAGCTCACTCTGTGTTTCCACCTCCCTCCTGGGAACCTGGACAACCAGCCCCAAAGGACGGACTGTCTTCTGGGGAGTGGAAAATCGTGCACGTAGTTCTGACGTCCAAGAAATTCTCAAAAGCTGCCTGAAATGTGTGTCTCAACTCYTTCCCTTCCTCACCACCAATATAGAAGAGTATTGTAGGCGAAGTGCTTAAGTCTAGTTAAATATAGAAAATAAAACCTTTAGAGACAGGGAAACTTAAAACCAAAAGGGAAGAATGATTGGGTAACCCTTATTCAGACCCACTTTAATTTCTTTAAAGTTCATGAGTTCCTTTATGTCATTTATAGTTTGCCTTCTATGTTTGAAGGTTGTTTTTTTTTTTTTTTAAATAGGACAATAGTTCATTTCAAAACATTGCTAGGACTTGCATGCTGTTTCTGATTGGTAAATTTCAAATAACAATGACTGTAACAACAGCCCTCTTCATTTTGTTTATTTATRTATTTATTTAGCACTATTGGGGATGGAACCCAGGGGTGTTCTACCCCTGACTAAATCTTCAGCCCCTTTCTAAAAATCTATTTTTTTTTTTTTGAGACAGGGTCTCACTAAATTGCCCAGGCTGGCCTCAAACATGCAATCCTCCTGCCTCAGCCTCTCSAGTGGCTGGGATTACAGACATGTACCACCAGGCATGGCTAGCTCTCTTTGAATAAGAAAAAAAAAAAACGGAGTGACATTTTTTAAGTTTCRGGGAAATAGCTCCACTCCTGAGATGCTCAGTCAGTCTCTGCCATTGCYGATGATGACAGTGAACCTGTCAGGTGTCCAACCCTGTGTTACYCTTGGGTGGGGAAAACAGCTGCACAGAGCATTTCATCAAAATGCAAAACAGCTTTGAAAAAAATTATCCACAGGATTTTCTGGGTACAAGCTATACTTGGATCTGGAATGTCCCCCAAAGGCCATGTGTTGAAGGCTTGGTCCTCAACCTGTGGCACTACTTGGGGGTGACGGAACCTTTGTGAGGTGGGGCCTGGTGAGAGCAAAGTAAGTCCCTGGGGGATGCCCTAGAAAGGCATCTTCTTTCCTGGTCACCATGAGGTGAACAGCTTTCTCCACCATGTACACTCCCCATGATGTACTCCTCACCACTGGCCCAGAAGTAATGGAGCCAAGTGACCACAGATTGAAACCTCCAGAAGCACAAGCCAAAATGAAACTTTTATTTTTTTCAGTTGACTATCTTAGGTTTTTTTGTTATACTAACACAAAGATAATACAATATGCMTATACAGAGAGAGATTTTGGTTCAGCCAGGAGGGTCAGGGGCTCTGGGGTTGAGTGTTAAGATAAAGGACAAATCGCGAAGCATCTGGATTGCAAGAACAGCACGAGAGACGTAATGGTGGGGGACATGTAGTGGGAACTATCAGGAGGTTAGAAGTGCTAAAAGTGGAGTGGGGGGCATATCACCACACTTCTCCTGGGATGACTGAACTGAGCAAGACTGGCCATATCAGAAGGTGCTGAGGATGTGGAGCACCGCCTCTCCTAGGCCACTGGAGGAAATGCAGACTGGTACACCCACGCTGGAGAAGAGCTGGGCAGTTTCTTAAAAAGTCAAGCACACTCTCATCCTGTGATCTAGGTGAGCTGTTGCTAGACATTYACCCATGAGCAATGAAAACACACGTCCCATAAAGACTTGCAGGTGAATCTTCTTGGCAGTTTTTCTGTAAAAGTCCCAAACTGGAAACAGCCCAACTTCCATTGATGGGGGAGTAGATAAATGATGGTGTAATCATACAATTGAATGCTACTTGGCAACAAGAAAATAATGGGCGATTGACATGTGTTTGCAACAAATGAATTTTCAAAATAATTATTTTGAAGGAAGAAGCCAGACTAAAACAAAACAACAAAACAAACAGTACAGACTAACGAATTCCATTTCTATAGAAATCTAGAAAATGCAAACTACTTTCTAGTGACAGAAATAGGAATGATTGTTACTATGGAGAGGAGAAGAAAGTACAAACCAGCCTGAGGATACTGTGGGGGGTGACATATCTTGATTATGAAAAGGATCTTAGGGTAGACCCACAAACCAAAATGGGCCCAATTGGATATTTTAAATATGAGCAGACCTTGTGACTACACTGAGAATGACGGAATCATATGCTTTAAATGGTTGAATTCTACAGTGTGTGAATTACACCTCACTAAAGCTGGGAAGTATGTCCCAATCACATCTCAAGAAGTGGCTCAAAGATTTCCTGAAATGAGAGGTACATATTTCTGGACAGGGCCTGGTGATAAGGCACCATGTTGTGGAAAGGGGACTCTGGCAGAGGCCTGGCCTGGCCTGCTGTGCCCTGGGTGTCTAATAGATCCCCTCGATGYCCATGGGAGAGTCCGGGGGGAGTCAGTTAAGAAACTATTGTGAAATCCAAGTGCAACCCAGGTCAGCTGAAAAGAGATTTGAAACGCCTTTTCCTTTATGTTTTAAGATGGAAGAAGGTTGAAGCCGACTACAGTGGTTCACACCTGTAATCTCAGCCACTTGGGAGGCTGAGGCAGGAGGGTTGTAAGTCTGAGGCCAGCCTCAGCCACTTAGCAAGACCCACTCTCAAAATTAGAAATTTAAAAAGGTTTGGGGATGTACCTCAGTAGTCAAGTGCCCGGAGTCCTGGGTTCAATTCCCAGTACCCAAAAATGAAAAAGAAGGAAGAACGTTGAACAGCTTGATAAGTCTAGGGAGAATGTTAACCAGGAAGAAATTACACAAATAARAGAAAAAAAGAAACTGAGGTGGTCAGGGGTGTAAAAGTGCCTTTTAGATTGAGAAGAGCTGAGCCACTGGGCCTGCATAAGGACAGGCATAAGCCAAAATAAACCTTTTGCATTGTTAAGTTGACTATCTTAGTTTTTTTTTTGGTTATAATAACACAAAGATAACACAGTATGCATACACCAAGAGAGATTTTGGTTCCTCCTGGGCGCAGGAACCACAAGCTGCACTGGCATGGAGAGGGGAGGTGACGATAGGACAGTGCTGCTCTATGAAAACTGGGTTTTGTGTGACTTTTGAGTGGCCAGACATTCACAGAGGTGAAAACCGCTGCAGTCAGTCCTCTGAGGGGAAGGCCTAG